CCCTCAAGTTGATCAAGCCCCAAGCGGAAGAACTACTTGGTACGTTGCGTGTTACTGCAGTCGCGCTCTTGTCCTTTTCCTCGATGCGCCGCTCTTGCTTGGAATCTCTGAGCTACGTCGCTTACAAACGTCGAAATTTGGAGGATTGGTGAGGTACCTTCGGTGGCGATGGCAATAGGTCCGTAACTTTTGATCCAGAGCGTCGCGACCCATTTTGAAAGGCTTATTCGAACGCCGCTGGCGAGGGCTTTCCAACGCATATTTGTTTGTCGCTAAATTCGTTGGGCAACCTTTTTTTTTTACCCCGCCCGATATCGGCCGGACAACCAATAGCACTGTATCACGAATAGGCTCTCTCTCTCATCGCTCTATGTATCGAGAATTTTTTGTCACCATCACGAAGTTCTAACATAAGCTTCCACAAACCATGGATTTGTGCTACCCCGAATCCTCCAATCTTCTCAAACACTCTTGAAATTTTGTCGTCTGCGTCCCCCCCCCCGCCCCCTTGTTCTCTTAGAGGCTATGCCGCCGTGCCTCACCGACCGCATCATGGAAGAACGGCGGCAAGGTTGCTGCGGCGACGCTCAAGGCAAAGTGTTGATGCCGCCGCCAGAACCAGGCTCTTCCCGGCAAAAGGGCTTAGCCTTGGCGGGGGGTTTCGTGTTCATCAGAGGCGTTTTTTACGTTACGAAACCGACCGCCGGGGAGGCAAGTATATAGATTTTTTTGGGCACCTCGTCCTCCGACTTCGCTTGCTGTACGTGTACAGGGAGGCAAGCATTTTTTTCTTTTTGCTGGGCAGCTCCTCTTCCGACTTTGCTTGCTAGGGTCAGTATCTTCATATTCCAGGCACAAATTAACCGGACGGCGCAGGAGGCCTCATCCATTCCAATGCTTACATTTAGATGACCCTCGGTATGGGGACAGAATGCATTCAGAATCCACGTGGCCGTCCTTGAGGTGATGTCGTGACGGACGGTATGGCCCCACCAAAGTCAAAGCACGACGGCATGTAGTGTACAAGACATCAAGCGCGTATACAGCATCTCGAGCTTTGAAAGTACAGTTGTGACGGGGCCGGTTTAGCGAACCCTCCTAGTGTCAGGAGGAAATATGGTGATCGCTGCTTGGGTTATTCAGGGCAAGCCGCTATTGGCGGTATGCAAACGGCTGTTGGTGCCACGCATTTGTGGTCTCTCTGTGCAGGGCATGTCGCTAAACAGGGGGTCGCTACACCGGGCGCATCACCACGGTATGTCGCTCCGTCGCGACCGAGAATTGTCCCAGCCGCGTCTCCCCTGCAGCATGTGGTAATATAATCGTCTTGGCTTTTGGCCAGCAAGCGAAAAATTCAATGGAGATGTAATGCCCAACCCTCCGTCCTCGCTCGCCGATCTCGTGCACACAAGCAAACACTCACCTCTCTGCAATTTACTTTGGCTAATCAGCAGCAGCAGCAGCAGTAGCAGCTTTTTGGTGGGTCCGGCTCAGGTCGGCGCTACCCCCTTGCGTTAAGCGAGAGATACACGCGTGCTCCAAGCGCGCATGCTGCCCACGCCCCCCGCTGTGTCCTCTTCCCCTCCAACTCCCGCGCTTGCCTCCTTTTTGAGTTCAGCTCATGCGGTCCCTTCTTTTTTCCGTGCTGGTTTTCATTCTCTTGCTGTGTGCAGGATGTGAGTGACGTCCCCCCCCCCCCCCCCCCCC